TTAGACTCCCTGCGGGCCGTTTGATATTTTTTCCAGTTTTCTAAGCTTTTACATTTTAACCAATTTTTATAACATAACTTCTTATATTTTATCTTTTCTTGCACATTATTATTCCACCACCAACTATTTTTATTTGTAAATATTTTTCCCTTTGATTCTCCAAGAACATCTTTTGCTACATGTTTAATAGCGTTTGTTACTTTATCCCACATCACATTTGCTTCTTCATGAATATCCCAAATTTTGAAATCTTGAATTTTACTCATAAAATTAATTTTATTTGTATCTTTTAAGTTTCTCCATCTAATTCTGCAATGATGAGTCCTAGTATTTTTTATTTTACAACTCTTAATCTTAAAATCTAAAACTAATAAACGATGTTGGGTATTTAAATTTTCACTTGGAATGACTTTACAATCATTACAATCACGACGATCTCTTCTTCTTATAAGAAAATAATCAATTTGTGTTTTATTAGATCCACTCTTATAAGTAATAAGATGTTCATCCCTTTTCTTGAATAAAGTATTAGTAATAACAAAATCAAACGCTAAAGCAAAATCTAAAATAGCTTTACCTTCTTCATTAGTTACTCCAAAACCGTAGCCACCATGAATATTTCTGAAATCTTCTACCACTCTACCGACATTTTCATTTAAATCTCCTCCAATAAAAATTCTTTCTTCAAGAGGTATCATTTGTATTAAGTCTTCTAAGTCATTCCAAAATTTATCTTTAGACCCTGTATCTAAACCTACTTGAGGAGAATAAACGCTTATAATATTAAAAATCTTAGTATCAATGATAATCTTAAGGGCTATAATTCTATCACCAACTCTATTAATTTTTACAACATTATCTTTCAAACTCTTATCTATAATTACACCTACACCATTTCTAGTGCGACTCTTACCAGAATACCAAAGTTTAAAACCTAAATTATCAATCTCCTTAGCCTTTTCTCCCACCCACTTAGTTTCTTGAATACATAAGATATTAATTTTCCTATGAATCATAATATCAACTAATTCCATTAATTTACCATTGAGAGTGCCTATATTCCAAGATCCTATCCTAATAATAGTTTTATTAGTTTCATGGACTAACTTCTTTACCCGCATTCGCCCGTAATGTGGGAACCCTTGCTTATTTAACACTACACCCGGGCGCCGGTATAGCGGCCCTTGCACACTTTTCACTGTATTCAGGCTATACAGCGCGTCGCTTCCAGGGGACGCCCGAACACTTACACATTGATCAAAAGGATTCATGTCATGATTTTTTCGACAAGTTTTATGCTGGCTGTCGACTACCTAACGCAACCCTCCACTTTTCTCATTCGGGCTGTCGACTACCTAACACTTGAATAATCTAAATGGAGCACTTGAAGATGGTGTATAGAATTCTAAGGTTTCTCAAGAAGGCTCTTGATTATGAATTAATTTTTGAGAAAACCAGGAACAGGGAGGTGAAAGTCTACATTGATGCTAATTGGACTAGGGAACTCACTAATACAAGGTCCACCGAAGGTTACTGCTCCTATGTACAGTAAAATTTTGTGACAAAGAAGTAAGACGCAAAAAAATTGTTTCTAGAAGCAATACATAATTAGAGTGTAGGACACTCACCTTGGGAATCTGTGAAGCGATTTGGATTCAGAAATTATTCACTGAACTTGGATTTACATCCAATAGGCCTATATAGATGATTTGAACATCTAATAGTATTGCCAAGAATCATGTGCATCATGACATAACCAAGCATATTAAGGTTGATAGGCACTTCATCCATCTCTGAAAAGGTTAATGGGGGAATTATATAGCTAAGCTACGTTTCCGACACTAATATGTTGTTGATATCTTCATCAAAGCTCTTCTCTTAAGCACCTTCTGATAGTTCAATACCAGGCTTGGTCTCTACAACATCTACAACCCAACTTGAGAGGGAGTGCGAAAATTTGAGAAGATCTTTTTCTCTCTCAATCTCTCTTTTTCTCTCTCATCTGAGAAGATATTAGAGGAAATCTGAGAAGTTCCTGGAAGATTTGATTAGGATAATTTGGGAAACCTTTGATTAGTTTATTCTCCTTTTATTTTATATTATTTTTTTTATTTCAGAATTATGTCTCTTCTTAAATTTGGGTAGGTATATTTGGTAAGTTTGTAAATTAGGAGTGATTGTTTTTCCTATATTTATTTACCTTACATGTGATTAATAAGGATAAAGAGAATTATTCCTCTCCAAACTTATTTTCTATGAAGCCTTCTTTTGTCAAAATAACATGGGAATTGACATTTATTAGAGCTAGATGTCTAATATCCGAGGCTTGAGATCTCTTTGATTTGAGTGAAGTAATTCCACATAACATGGTGAACGTAAGAATATAATTTTTTAGGTGATCCTTTAAACTTCGTATTTTTAGACCATAATGTCTCTGGAGTTTAATATGCAGTTATTGGTGAAACATGCTTAGCTGAAGTCAGAGATGTTGAAGTTTAAAATTAGTAATTCAATGAATTGATTAATCAAATTTCTGTGTAGCCTAGCTGTTTTTATTTGGTGTCTGCATTTATTCCAGAAAAAGATCATCCGAGCATTACAAATATTAACAACAAGTGCTGCAGGTCTTATATTGGCTACTGGGTTTGGAGCTCTTTGTGGTGGTGTGTTTGGAGCTGAAGTCGCTGAACATGTGAAGCAGCTCTATAAGGTGGATAAACAAGGTGCTAATCTCAGGTTTCTCTACTGGTGGGAGGACAAAACTAAAGGTCAATTTCTCAACTGTTAACATTAAACTATTTATTTATTTATTTGAGTAGCTGGATCACTTTCAATCTTGCTCCGTGTGTATACTATGCCAGTGCTTTGGTATATTTAATTTGCTTGAACTGCATTATATTATGGCTTAGCAGAAATTTTCTCAACTTTCTTTAGAAAGCCATGCACTTATGGCTGGACACCGATTGAAAATTAGCACATGGTAAAACGCGTGCAAAAAGAAATTTCTCCCAAGGAATTCCTTGCACAAATTCTTTGGCGAGTCCAAGAAGGTGATGCATGAATTTCGTAAGTTTTGTGTTTTATTGAATTAGCATATGGACTTTTTTATTTAGATTTATTGTTGAATTCTTGAAAAAAAATGATCTGTGATCAATCTCATTGTTTTTTTAGAGATTTGTTGCTGAAATGCATGGATGTTGAAAGGAAAAAAATATATATATATTATTTCAGTCATTGTTTTTTAGAGATTTGTTGCTGAAATGCATGGATTTTGAAAGGAAAAAAAAAATATTTCAGTTTTTGAAGTCAGAAATAAAGTCACAATCGCTGGTAATACTTGTACTTTGCACATACCGAAGTTTCAATACAAAGTTGTCCTTTTTCAGGCCTCAACATTGATTCTGCAAGTAATTTAATGTAGGATTTTTTCCCGATGTGTGCCATTTGATCATATTGTTTTCTTCCTTCCATCTAGTATTTTCAAAACTGATTTAACCACTGTGGTTCGGAAAAATATTAAGTCAGGACCCTGACGTAGAATAATCGAATAACACCATATAATAACATAGCCCCAAATCAAGTAACGCAGGGGAATACTCCAATAACACCGCAAAATAATCGAATAACATCATATAATACTCGAATAACACATTATTTTTACAAATAACGCGGATGAAATATTCTCGTAATACAACCGAATATTCCAATACGAATGTAACCCTACGTCAGGAGTCCTGATGGAATATATTTCCCCGTGGTTCTATCATTTTGCTCATAGACTCGCATTTTTGGAAAAATGTAATCATAGCTTATTTGCTCATTTAACAGGAAGTTCCCAGTAATTATTGTTAGCTGGTTCCAGTGCTCTCGGATGATGATATACTGTCCCAGAAAGTAAAACTCATCTGTCATGTTTGGTTTTTATCATGAATAAACAATTAATACTCCCACTTTTTGCTATACAAAAGTGCTTCTTGTTTGATTCTGCTTGAGCCCTCAGCTGTATTAGTAAAATGAAAATGCACATTTTTAATGTTCATTTTAATTTGTTGTGAACTTTCATTTTGAAGCTGGCAGTTGTGATGCTATTTGGTGCTGCTGTTTGGTGTTCAATGCAAAAAATTATCGGATGTAAAATTTGTGTCCAGAGTTCAGTGGGCATGTGCCATGCTGCAAATGGGCCCCACCCCTCTAAAAATCTACCCAATCAGTGTACTACATTGGGGTCCACGTGTCACGTGGCAAATGCCCAGGAATCTAGACGCAAATTTGAGTCCGATGTCCTGATGGAATAATCTCTCGTTCAATGCTGACAAGCTACTATATGGTGATTTAAACGGTACTTATGCATTTGGTATTCTTATATTGGGCTCAGCCTATGCTGTAATCAGTCATAAATGCTGAAATAAAGGAGAGATTGTAAGTGCTCTTTTCCTAAATTTAAGAAGAATTTTGTGTAACTATTAAAAATTTTATTTTAAATTCTTTTAACAATTATATATAATATCGAAATTTGCCTCTTTTTCTTATTATTATTATTATTACTATTATTATTATTATTATTTTGACGCCTTATTTTAAATACTAATTTTTTTCTTTGGCCGTAATCTATTAAATATTTGACGGAAAGGATGTAGTTAGAGCTCAGCTTTCTTGCATTAATGATATAATATATTTCTTTTGCTGTTTGTTGGATCGACTGATTTTTGGTGTTATTTTGAGCTAGCTGTTGTGCATTTGCATGGAGTGCATATAATTTGACTGATCATGTGGAAGGCCTTCAAAAAATTAACTATAATGCTTTTATCAGTTCTTTGATATATGAAAAATAAGCCGCCGAAATGATCGAGTTGTTAAAAGAGTACAAAGATTGCTTCGCTTGGAATTACAACGAGATGTCAGGCTTCGCGCTTGAAGTCTCAGCTCACAAGCTTGGAATAGTGTGACTACAGTTAAACAGGTTCCTAGAAGGAATGTGACTTGAAATCGAGCAACAAGTTACAACAAAAGGTCGAGAAATAAATAAATGCTAACTTTGTGAGGGAAGAACAATATCCGACATGGTTAATTAACATAGTTCTAGTTAAGAAAAAAAATGGTTAGATTCAAATCTGCGTGGGGTTTAGAGATTTAAATAAATCGTGCCCAAAAGATGAAATCTCATTGTCGATTTTAGAATTAATGGTGGACATCGCATCGTCGCATGTAATCTTCTCTTTAATGGACGGATTGTCAGGATACAATCAGATAGAAATGACACCGACAGAGGCAATGTTTACATCTTTCAAGACACCAATCGCAGAATTAATGGTGGACATCGCATCGTCACATGCAATCTTCTCTTTAATGGAAGGATCGTCAGGATACAATCAGATAGAAATGATACCGGCAGAGGCAATGTTTACATCTTTCAAGACACCAATCGAAATATATTATTACACCGTGATGCCTTTCGGAATAAAGAACGTCGGATCAACGTACCGACGTGCAATGACGAAGATCTTCGATGACCTCATTCACAAACAAGTGGAATGTTACGTGGATGACTTGACATTCAAGAACAAACATAAGAAAGACCATTTGCATGATTTGAGAATTGTTTTCGAAAGGTTGTGATAATTCAATCTTAAGATGATTCCAGTGTGGTCGTTACTATAACTTCACCATTGACAAGTAGGGCTGTAAAAAAAGCTCGTTGTTCGCGAACAGCTCGTGTTCGGCTCGTTCGTTAAGTAAACGAGCCGAACAAGAATAAGTTTTTAAAGCTCGAATTATAAGCGAGCCGAACTCGAACAGTTCTTTGTTAACTCGTGTTCGGCTCGTTTTAGCTCGAAATAAAAAATATATATATATAATTATTTATATAATAATATATTGCATATATTATTTATATAATAAGATATTATATATATTTATATCTAAGTTTAAATTATAACATCTCATGTGGTAATATGATTAATCCCTTATTTTGTATATATTTGGTCCAGGTTCAAATACCACACTTTACATCTATTTTTTTCAATTTAATTTTAACGCGCCAATTTCGAGTCGAACACGAGCACACTGTTCACGAGCCAATTTCGAGCATGAGCTATTTCGAACGAGCCGAACACGAGCCAAGCCTGAGCTCGCTCAAGCTCGGCTCGTTTACAGCCCTATTGACAAGAAAGGGAATCCCCCAAGCATCTTAAGACGTGATGACATGGATTCGATGCCCTTTGTAATCAAGAAGATGATTAAGAGAATGGTTTCCTGACATGTCCTACCAGTGGACTATGTCCCTAATAACTGCATCATCAACATCTATGAGGAGGGGGATTGTATTTCGCCCCATATAGATCACCATGATTTTGTCAGACCCTTCTGCATAGTATCATTCATCAGCAAATGCGACATAATGTTTGGAAAGGAGCTAGATATTGTCAGACCAGGTGAATTTTGAGGACCAGTGGAGATTTCCATGCCTGTAAGATCTGTTCTAGTACTTAAAGGGAATGAAGCTTACCTGGCTAAGCATTGCATTCCAAGTGTGCGAAGAAGAAGGGTCTCCATCACTTTCAAGAGGATGGACGATATCAAGGTGCCATATGGATATCGTCCTGATTCGGATCTTGAAGGACTATAACTTTTGGAGTTATGAGACAACCACCTCTAAGCGTGTACAAATAGACTTTTGTCTTGGAGTATGCCTTGGGAGGAGGGTTAGTCTCCACAATTCCAAACAATTAAGATGGACATGACAGATGACTCGGAGATAGAGATAGTTTTGCAATGGAAGATGTTACTTCATAATGCTTTCCATAATGTACACCAGATAGCAAAATCAGATTGTACTTTTGGTCCATCAAATTTTTTGAAGATTAACAGAGTTTGATTTTGCCATCATGTGTGATTGATTCAATGTTATTAGACTAAATCTTGGATTCAGTCCTACAAATACTAACAAACAAGGAATGATATCAATATATATATATATATATATATATATATATGGTAATAATAAAAATCATACAAAATACTTTTTTAAAAAAATCATCAAACTTGAAGTACTTTCACAACACCAACACTCACAAAATCTCTACATGCACAAAGTTTCACGCATCCACAAATTTCCACAACTCTACCACTTCACCACGTTTCGTCACCTTTCACTTTCATTTAGGTTGGATACCAAGTCTTCAGACCTTCCTTCCCAACGGAGTGCATTTCTTTACCTCTTAGGTTGGGATACCACATTCTCTGGAATCTCCCGTCATAATGTGCAATTCTTCACCTCTTAAGTTGGGATATTATATCCTCCAAGGAGACACCGCTTAGGTTGGAATAACACATCCTCCAGGATCTCCCTTTCAAATATGCAATTCTTCATCTCTTAACTTGGGATACCACATCCTTCGGGATCTCCATTCCTAATGTGCAATTCTTCACCTCTTAGGTTGGGATACCACATCCTTTGGGATCTCCCTTCCTAATGTGAAACTCATCCACTATATTGGGTTGGAATACCAAGTCTCCGGACCTTCCTTCCCGACATAGTGCAATCTCCATTTCCACTACTTTTCCTCGTTTATTCATTGAGCTTGATGTGACGCTACTTTTCCTCGTTTATTCATTGAGCTTGATGTGAGTCCCTGTGATTTTCATCTCAACTCGATTCCCTCACTTACCTAAATTTGAATTGCCCACGACACAAAATTAAAACTGAAATAAAAATCAACACAAAATAAATCAAATTTGTCACGACTATCAGATTCCTAACAAGGAACCTTGATGGTTGCCCCTCTAAATTCATAAAACACACCTTTATAAAAGTGAAAGAACAAAGATCGCGACATAAATTAACAACTTCAATATAAAATACGCCCTCTATTTCCCAGCAGAAATCTTCTCTCGCTTCTTCAATTTGAGCCCATTTTTCTCAAATTTGAAGTCTTCTTCGTTTCTCTACGTTGTTCTAAGTGTGAGGGCCTATACAGTTGTGTTGGTTTTGTTGATCTCTTTGGTCAACACCAATACGTGCGATGTGTTTTTCCAGCACACCACATCTATTTGAGATCCATTTGTTGATCTTGTTTTTTATGAGGTCTAGTTTCTTCTCTTTAGAAGCCTAGGATCTAGTCATAGGATAGTCATAGGACTTTCATAGGACTTTCTTGTTGACTATCCTAGAAGACTAGTGATGTAACCCTCCCGCATAGAAATTATAAACACTTTTTGACTCTTCTTGTGAAGTCTTCCATGGGTGGTCATAAGCCCTCATTTCTCACTTGAAATGGTTCAAACCAGCACGTGGAGGCTCAAGGATGAGTTCCAATAGAATCAGTGAGACCTTAGGGCAACCCTGGGTAACTTGGTCTTGGTCACACACACACATAAGCTCATCACAACCTCACACACTTCAAAACCCTAAAATCACATTGCACTTCACCATATGGCAGGGTTACATGGTTTGCATGGTCACCACGCCTAACTAATTCTAATTTCACCAAAACACCTAACATTGGCCTTCTACCCCCTAATTCCCCCTAAATTTACCAAAAGGCCCCTTAACCCCTAAAATTACCCAAATTGCCTAGACTCCCAATTTCTCACCAAAAATCATTTGGAACCATTTCAAATTACCCTAATTGCATCAATGCCCCCCTACACCACCTAAAATTACCAAAATGCCCCTAATCTTAAAAAAAATTTCCAAAACCTCCAAATTCACTCTAAACATCCCCAAAATCAATCCTAACCACCCAATGACTCTATTTGCACCCAAATCCACCAAAATTGGCCAAAATTCTCAAATTACCCCTAAATTCCCAAAATCTCTAATTCGCCCCGAATTTCCACCAAATTCATTTCAAATTCACCAAATTTAAAATCTAAACTAAATTTCATCATGTTCAAGCCCAATTTAACCCAATATACAACCCAAATTCCAAGCCCAAATCAACTACCCCAAAATTGACCCCAATTCCAAATTCCGTACCCCAAAATTGAGAGTTCAAGCCCAAATCAAGTACTCCTAAATTCCCAATTCCAAATTCCATC